TGCGTGCATTTCTCGCTATGCTAGGATTTTTACTTCTCGGGAATCACCTCGTTCTTTCTTTTCGCTGAAGAACGTGACGCGAAACGTGGGGGCTAATGATATTTTTCTCGCTACTGTCGGGAGAAGCTTCCTTATCTTTGTAATGCGGGAGATCATTCCCGGAAGAACAAAGTGGTTGGTTTGTGGAGAAAGGTCGTTGAAGTTTTTAAGATAAACTTCATCTAAATCTCAACCCTTTTTCTTTTGCTAGTGAGGAAGTTTCTTTCCGGTACTTATCGTTCCTTTAAGAATTCTGGGAGAGAGATGAAAAGAATTACTTGTGTATTGTACGTTTTTGTATTTTAATTTGGCCTCGAGCTAAATTAAATGAAATGTTCAAAGGCAAAATCCTTTTCCCAGAAAGTAACCTACTCGTGTCTTCCTACCTCTATAAACATGATCGAACGGATGATATAAATCTACATAATTTCATTTTAAACACAATGCCCTGTAAGGTAATTTAGTACTCAGCTTTATTGATAATTTTAAACAATGCCATAAAGTTGTTTTACTAACTTAGAGGAATAATTTTGGCTCATCACTCAAAGTAATTGCGAATAAAATATTATTCTCATCAGTAAAGTTTTAATAGTAAAGATATTATTAAAGAAATTCGGTGCATTGAGTTGTCTACATTATCGTAAAGATTTGGCACATATATTTTAGTTAAAATGTAAATTTTCGGGAGATATCCTGGTTCCTGTACTTTAATTTTCATTTTAACTATTTTTGTTTAATTAAATTTATGCAAAGTACGAAGGGACATTGTCATAGTGAAGAGACACAATTTATTATGTTCATTATTTGAGAGTGGCTACATGTCTTCACGTGTTTTACTTCTTCATTGTGTTTGAACGAGTGACATCAACAGATAATCTTAAAGCTAATCGTCATGTCTGATTTTATTTTCTACGGTTCTAAACATTCTTTCATTACAATATTTTGCAATTAATTAACGTGAGGATTAATGACTCCCTTCTGACTCCCATAATGTTTTTTCTGCGTTTCTCTGATCCCTTGAGCAAATGCTGAAATAGTCCTCTAGCCTATTTTTCTGAATGTGAATAATTTGAATCAGGACTGAAATGCAATTTAAAAAGTGTGAAATGACACATTAATTGGTAGTTAAAAAATTGTTATTTGCAGGAATGCAACGCGACCAAACTTAATTTCGTCATTGTTCACGGAAAAATATAAACTAGCATTACTTTCCGACAAGGTCAAGGGCGTACCACAGTGATGCATCTTAGAATTCAAAAAGTTTCCTCTGCAACGAGATCTGCGAGAAAAAAGTTTCGGTGAAGAGGCCATGAAGTTTGTCGCTGCGCCACCGCTGACGTCTTCGCCCCCAAAGGGTGGGTGCTCGACTCCCGCGGAGGGCAGGGGGCGGGGGCTGCTGGGTAATGAGACTCCG